TAGGAGGCAGCCAATCAATGATTCTCTCTCATCATTGATTTTTCTATATCTCTCTCCTTCTTCTTTCCTCTCTGAAATCAATAAAAGTATTTTTTTTTAAAAAAGAGAGAGAGAGAGACAAAATAAGTTAACTAGGTAAGTGGTAAAGTGACCAGACTTGTGTGAAAACTGAGAGGCCCAACCACTACTTCAGACTGGACAAACCATCCCCTCAGGCCATGGAAAAAAGCTGGAAATATGACAAAAGAGGTCATTTGATGGCTGTTAGGTGTGCCTTTTATCTGTAACTAATCTTTGAAAAACTGTCTTCTGTTTTGCTTTGGGAGCAGAGTTATAAACACTTAGGAGCCAAAGTAAATTCCACCTGCCTGTCCTGGTAGCAACAGAACCCACAGAGGTTTACCTATTATCCAACACACCCTAGTCCTGAGGCTTTGCCCCTCTTAACTTCCTATTCACTACATCACTGGCAGACAAGTTGTTTTACCTATTCTCTGTGCCCAAGGGGAAAAGTTGGCAACAAAGGCCCAGACATGATACCCAATACTTTAATAGTGTAAGAAAAATCTCAAACACCTGCCACCCTGGCTCCTGCTTGAGATCTCCTTCATTCATTCGTCTGACCTAGTTGGTAAAGTAAATCTAAAATATCCCAACCATGAAAATAGAAATGCCTGTGCTTTTCATGTGTATGTGTGTTTTTTCCTTTGTAGTGTGATGCAATGTGGTGATTGAAATGCTATTTATTAGATGCCTGAAACAAATAATCACACAAATGGACACAACTGAAACTTCAACTCTGTACCGTTATGAAGGCCCCTTTCTGGTTTCCAAACCCAGGCAGGTCCCAGTTGAGTAGATTGTAACTTGATCTTGTCATAGGAAATAAGTAGGTACTATGTGAGATATGCCAAGAGGATATTAAACACCGACTGGTTGCCTTCTGCACGCTCTCCACCTGGGATTGAGCCCACAACCAGGGCATGTGCCCTGACCCGGAATCGAACTGTCGACTTCTTGGTGCACGAGTCACTCAACTACACCGGCTAGGCAAGAGGGTATTATTTTTTAAAATTTATCTTTATTGATGATATTACTTTTTGAAAGAATATTCGATAAGGAAATGCTCTTACTTCTCACCCATCCATGAAAATCAGCTTTTAGGAAACTACAAAACAAGTAATCAGTTACCCAAATTCTCTAAAGACAGCAGGGGTTTAAAATGGAATTTTTGTGACCATGTTTTCATTATGCCTACTTCCCATGTATTAACACTCACCATGAATCATAGGTGGTACTTATTTTAGGTCTGCCTTCCCCACCATGAAGACAGGAATCATCTGCCATATTTAACCACCATATTCATGGTGTTTAGTACAGAAGAAACATTTTAAATCTGCTGAATGGACTACCCACAGAAATTAAGAGAAATAGGATAAATATTTCTTTCTGCTGTTCTTTCCTTGCCCTCACTTTTCCCAGCCTATTTTCAGCTTAACACCACAGTGACAGCAACAGGGACATAGCTCAGTCCTTTCTCTCTAAGAATCACAGAGATCCAAGAGAAATTGAACAGCAGGGAGGAGGTACACTAATTCCAATCAGGGCTAGGCTGTCACATTCCTGCAGTTACAAGAAACAGAAACACACTGGAGAGAACTTAAGCACAAATGGGCATATCCAATAAGAGAGGGAGTATCTCTTGAACTCAAAGGAAGAAGCCAAGCCAGGTTTCTGGGGGTTAGGAGGATGATGAGGAAAACCTTCAGCATCACTGGCTCAGGATTATCTCCCCGTGAACCAAGTAGTCCTTCCTTCCTTCCTTGTTCACACTTTCTTTTAAGCAAATCAGCTTTCATTGCTTCTTCAAGTACACAAATGCCTCACAGCTCTAGGGTATACATGTTCCCAGCTCAAGGGACCAGCCTACACTGAGACTAGCATTTCCTACTTGAAATTCTAAATTCCTGGGAAAATCAGATTGACTCAGGGGCAAACAGCCTTAACCAGGCAAGTCTGGTTTCTCCTGGCTCCCTCCTACAGAGGACATGGAAGTTCCGCAGAAAAGACAGGGTATGAGGACACTCCCAAAGCAGTAGCTGTGTTTGTTATCATGATGAGTTTACTTATCTTTCTTTTGTCTTCCACTCCCACAAGTTCACTCAGCCTTATCACACTGCCTTTTAGGCTCACTCACTGCCATCAAACTTAGCCTTCAGTAGTCATTCTTTCTCATCTAATGCCTTCTGTTTCCTTCCTTCCATTAAACTTCAAATTCTCAGTGCTACATAACATTAGTATCCTACCCAGAACATGACAAATACTATGTTGAAAAGGTGTTTTAATGGACAAATAAGCCATTATTATATGTACAAGATATTTTGTTTTATTTCGAATTTGGATACCACTATAAACACAAAATGTGGTCATGTCCACCAAGTGGTGTCAATATTATAGCCTCCAGATATACTGTACCTTTTCACTTACTTTATAACTAATACCACATACCTGTCAAAAAGAAAGGATTGCAAAACAACTTGTTGGAAATTAAAAACTATTTCAGGTTTTCTAATTAACCAAAAATGTAGCATATATCCTTATGCAATAAAATTCTGTCTCTCTCAAGTTAAACAAAACTTAAATTCTTGCTCAGACATCAGTGACTATGTTATCTAAATGCATATGATTCCTAGGGACATAAAAGCAAATTTCTGACCAATTATGAAGAACACAGCCTTTTGTTATTTTATCTCTCCATGGTAGCGGAACCATCCAACAATAAAAGATTACAGACATCATCTTGACCATATGTATGCGTTGTTCATCTGCAAATCCTGGCACCTAGCTTGATGGTCTATAGTAGGTGCACAGTAAATGTTTGACTAGGATGTATACTTTTACCTAGGTATTTACAAATCAACACCACATATGCCTGAAGCTTTACATGCATTCATATAAATGTATAAATTGCCACAAGACAATCTTCTCAAACTGTAAGATGCTAGAGATCTTTTTAGAACACAAATTCTGATTCAGAAGATCAGGACTGAAACTCAATATTTGCATTTCTAGTAAGTTCTCAGGTGATCCTGATGCTGCTGGTCTACGGGATCCATTTTAATGTCCAAGTAATCCCTTTTTACTCCTTATACTAGAACACCATAGGTAAAGTATGCAAATAATTAGAGGGTCCTTCTTGTCAAAGACCGTGCTCAGTCATTATGAAAATTACGATAATGTTCTCAGGGAAACGCATCTTTATTAACAGATTCAAGTCTTCAATAGTATTTATTTATTGAGCACCTATGCCAGGTGCAGAAGCTACAGCAGCCTTTTAGTCATTCTGGCAGACAACTTAATAAATGATGAAAATGCAACTCAAGGTTTCTTCTGTATTCTCAGTGATATTCAAATAAAGAGAGCATCAGAGAATGACACTTAAATGTGTATATGGGAAGGGGTTCTGTAAGTTATTGCTTAGGATCCTGTGTCATCATGAAGTTCCTATTAATGTTTATCTCAAGTACATTTCTTGCTTGCTATCCCAAGCCCTCACTATTCTGCCCAGATCTGCCTCTCCTCTGCCTTTGCAGTCAAGGAAGTGACCAGTCTCTGGGATCAACTTCAATTTTTTGGATTATAGACCTTCCCCAACTCTTTCAGTGAGATGTTGTAACAAGTCTGATAAAAAAGCAAGACCACTGATCAGACTGGTTCATACCATTTAAAAATCAAGAAAAAAATCAATCAGAGAATTCATTTCCCTTTCCATATACCTAAGTCCCCATTATCGCCTTTGCATATAATGGTGTCTGCTGGAGGTACAATAGGTAAGGGACAAATGTAAGTACTCAGAATTATAAGAAGTTTCTTCTTCACTAATATAGGGTTCAGCTCCGTGGTTATAACACAAAATTCTAGAGACACATAAAACCTCAAAGATAATTTCAAAAGTCACAGAAGGCCATTACATTCTTAATAATTCATTTGTTCATAATCAGGCAAATTGTTATTTATGTTATTACAGCATTCTTTTGCCAGAGGCACAAACATAATCACATCTACAATTTAGCATGAATTTATTTTAGTTATTTTTTTTATGGCATATAGTTCTCAAACTGGGATACTTGTATCACGAAAAAAAGGTGCAAACTGTAGCAAGCCAGAGGGTATATGAGCCCAAACAGCAAATCTGAGGGATTTTTCTAGGATGTCAATTTTAATTAATATTTGAAAGAAGGGGAATAAGGGAAATGTTTACTAATATAACTGATGAAAAATGTAAATAATGGTTTTACACTAAAGCAAACATAGACTATGATGCCCAAACTTCATTAATTTTAATGATAAAATACTAACTGAAAAGAAAGTTCCTATTTTGGAGAGCTAGGTCTTCTCTCCCTACAAGGGAATGTTGGCAGTGTAAGAATCTAAGAATCAGTCATATCTTTTTTTTAAAGTATATTTGAAAGATTTGCTATTTATCAGTGTAAGGACATATTTCTCATGTAAGATCTTGGGGAAATGAGGTTGACTTCCATTTAGATTGTTTCAATCTGAAGCAAATTCTTTTAAGAACTGAATGTTCAATGTTGAATGTCCTGAATTTTAATAAATAACATAACAACAATGCAAGGACAAATTTATTTCACAAATATAATCACTGGACAAAATTTTGAATTGTCTAAGGAAGTACTTTACGAAAAAGTTAAACAAAATGTCAGAGAACAGAGTGAGACTGCTGTAATCAGTCTATATGCTGTAGTCCTTCCACTAATCTCATTCAGAAACTATGCATATATAATCAATTTCAGAACAAATTTCTTATTTTACATACTGAGAGCTTTAGAAAATCTAAAGTGATTTACTATAGTACTTTCCATTGATAATCCCAACCTCAGGCATCACTACTCAAGAAGAAAATACAGAGAAGATAATCTCAGAAAGAAGGGGAATTGAGGTCAATGTTTAGTTTTTTAGACAGAAATCCAGATACTTACAAGGCATCACATGATATATGCTTGGCCAATATTGTCCACTATCCCTCTTTAACCATACACGAACTGTCCTGCAACAAAAGAAAATGTGTTTTAAAATAAGTATTTTTAGTCATAGGAAAATTTTGATAGAAACCAAACCTGTTCATTATACACACATAGATATATTTTATATGAAACATATCTTAACTATACATAATATATACCTTAACTATATAAAATATATATATACACATATATGCATATACACCACATATGCCTCTCTAAAGATCCTACATTTAAGGCTTGTATACATCAAGAATTATATATGACTCTTGAACTATCCCCATATATGTCTATATGAGCACATGTAATGGTGATAATGAAAATTATTATTATTTTTGTTGTTGTTTTGCCTCTCCGTGTTTATGATTTTTCCCCCTAGTCTGCTGGAAACATTCATGTGCCTGGGAGCTACTAGGTTTTACTACTGAAAGAAATGCAAGGAGATAAAATGAAGCAATATGCAGTATCTGACACACAGAGAAGGATTACATAGTAAATCCATAGTCTTACCGGCCAGGCCAGGCCAGGCCACTGTCTTGAGAGACAGTTCTTCCAAGCATGGTCTGGCAATCGTAAGCTCTGAGAATCACATTTCCTGAGTTAAAGGGCCAGTTATTGGGCCCACCATGAAACAATGAAATCCCGTAGCAAAGACTATGAGTGACATTCCAGGCCAGCTGGCCAGATAGAGAGCTCAGAGAGGAGGAGCAAAAGAAAGAAAGAAGTAGTCAAGAGTGGGCCATTGGGCTCTGACCAGTGGCCCCACCATGAGTTACATGAGCCATGACATCATATACATAAGTTGGCAAGGCAAACACACTAAGAGGTAAAGGGACAGTGCTCCATAGACCACAGAAAGTAGCAGACATCAAAGAAAATGAGCAGTTCCCCACTGCTAGTAGATTATATATGTCACACCTCCACTCCATACTCTTAAATCATCCAGGATAAAAATAAAACAAAGAAAGAACATATTTTCCTCAGAGAGTTGAACACTACCTAAACAAACTACTTAAGTCTTCATACTACATAGACTAAGTTTTAAATACTTTGGATTTTTTCCCAATTAATCAGTAGGTCCCATAAGAAATATTAGGAAAAAGACTAGATTGACTACAGACAAAATAAATGTCATTATCTCTGCATGAACACAAGATATAGTGTAGTGATATATGGTAACAATACAGATACTTACAAAATCCCATCCTTCTGGTCAATTATCCTAATTTGTGAGAAGGACTGGCATAATGGTAAAAAATTTATAAGAAGTTATTTGATACATATACTATTTATACACATATCAGTCCTCATTTAAATTACTTTTATAATATATGCCATTACATTTTAATATGGAGATTCCCTCAACAAGAATGAACGCAGGAGTAACATCATAAATATGGCACAGTGGGAAGCTCCAGGAATCAGACCCTACACCAAATCAACTGTTGAGCTGGCAAGAACTGTCAGAATCATTATTTTAAAACTCTAAAGTCTAGCCCGGCTGGCATAACTCAGTAGTTAAGCTTCGACCTATGAACCAGGAGGTCATGGTTCGATTCCTGGTCAGGGCACATGTCTGGGTTGCAGGTTCGATCCCAGTGTGGGGCATAAAGGAGCCAGCCAATTGTGATTCTCTCTAATCATTGATGTTTCTGTCTCTCTCCCCCCTCTCCCTTTCTCTCTAAAATAAAAAAAAATATATTTAAGAACAAAAAGTCTAGTTACATACTAGCAGGACACAAGGGAATGCTTGATGAAGTAAAAAGCTGGTATGTCAGTGACTTTCATGTTTTGCTAGCAGCTACCATCATGCATGCACTATTCCTGTAGCAGGCAGTTGTGGGGACAGTGGCCCATGTTCAGAGTGGTTTGCTGATACCAAGGTGGGAACCCTGCCCTCACAAAATTTGGGGATGTGTGTTGTGATTTGCTGGCAGTTCACTGAAAGACTAGAGAAGAGACTGGCCATTGTTTGAATCCAGAAGGGCTGAAGGGCCCCAGGCAATGTCTGTCAAAAGAATTTAAATCAGTGGTTCTCAACCTTCCTAATGCCCCGACCCTTTAATACAGTTCTTCATGTTGTGGTGACCCCCAATTTCATTGTTACAAATTGAACATAATTAAAGCATAGTGATTAATCACAAAAACAATATGTAATTATATATGTGTTTTCCGATGGTCTTAGGCGACCCCTGTGAAAGGGTCGTTCGACCCTTTTTAAATTTTAAATGGAGAGAAACCCTTTCTTTCCTTTATGAAATCCAGGTATTAAAAGAAATCAGCCTTAGCCAGTTTGGTTCAGTGGATAGAGCATCAGCCTGTGGACCAAAGGGTCCCGGGTTGGATTCCGGTCAAGGGCACCTACCGTGGTTGCAGGCTCCTCCCTGGCCTAGGCCCTGGTTGGGGCTCGTGCAGGAGGCAACCAATCAATGTGTTTCTCTCACATAGATATTTCTCTCTGTCTTTCCCTCTCTCTTCCATGCTCCCTAAAAATCAATGGAAAAATATCCTCAGGTGAGGATTAACAACAACAGCATATCCTATATAATAAAAGCCTAATATGCTAAGTGTCCAGGCGACCGGTTGTCCATTCAACCAATCAAAGCGTAACATGCTAATGATATGCTAAGGCCTCTCAACCACTGGCTATGATATGCACTGACCACCAGGAGACAGAAAGTGGACCGCTCGTCCAGTCGATATGACATGCATTGACCACCAGGGGGCAGATGCTCTGACCGGTAGGTTAGCTTGCTGCTGGGGTCCAGCCAATTGTGACTGAGCGAGATGGGCTAGACACGCCCTGGAGCCCTCCCAGGGTCCCTCCCCTATTGGCCAATCTCCCACGTCTCTCCCTGACCCCAATCATGCACCGGAGGGGTCTCTCGGCCTGGCCTCCATCCTCTCTCACTCCAGGACCCCTCGGGGGATGTCAGAGAGCCGGTTTCAGCTTGATCCCACAGGGGGAGCACTGCTTAGCCAGAAGCCGGGCTCACGGCTGGCAAGCGCAGCGGCAGTGGCAGGAGCCTCTCCCGCCCCCAAGGCAGCGCTAGGGGGAGCGGGCCTAAGCCATCAGTCGGACATCCCCAGAGGATTCCCGGACTGGAAGAGGGCACAGGCCAGGCTGAGGAACGCCCCCCCCCCCGAATGCAGGAATTTCATGCACCGGGCCTCTAGTATATATATAAAAGAAAAGAAAAGAAAAGGAAAAAAAGAAAGAAAAAAATCATTGGTGGAGGATTTCAAGATGGTGGTGGACTAGGTCGAAGCTACACTCACCTCCTCCAGGATGAAACTGGAATTACAACTAAATTAAAGAACAGTCATCCTGAATAACTAACTGAAAACTAGCTGAAGAGGAGGCTTACAACCAAGGATTTACTGAAGAAGACACATCGAGACTGGTAGGAAAAGCAGAAATGAGAAATGGCTGGCTCTGCTCCCACAGGCAGCAGCTGAGGTCCCAGACAGATATCTCAGCTGTGGGAGGTTTCCCTGAGAAGAGTGGGGCCTAAATCAGAAACTGGGCTTCCCAGCTCAGAGCACCGGAGCCAGGAAGAGTCACCCATATAATATCTGGCTGTGAAAAGCAGTGGTATTTCTGTCTTCCAGGGAGCATTAAAGTCAGCTGCAGACACAGGCACTCTCTTAAAGGGCCAACACACATAATTTTGTGCACAGTCACTCACCTTGGACTCTGGTGGAGAGAGGGTGAAATGGACTAGAAGGCCTGAGGAGAGTGTGGGGTTTGTGGCTCTGGAGAGGGAGCGGGAGGGACAGACCCCAGAAATCCCTGTGCTGAGTCATTTTTCCATACCACAGATGCCATCTTTCTGGGCTGGAGGACTCCCCTCCATGTGGCATCAGCTAGGGAAAAGCAACTAGACTCACACTCTAGACTCCCTCTCACCCCACCCTGTAGAGCTTAGGCCCTGCTGAGGAGTCAGCTGCCTTGGCCAGGTTGTAGAGGTCTGGGCAGATGCAGGGGGTGTCAGTGACAGAGTTGTCTGGCTTTGGAGAAGGGGCCATTACCTCCTTTCCCATAAAGCTGACTGGAGCTTTCCCCTCACAGGATATCCAATAGAACCACCCTCCTTGGCTTCCAGGAGACTCCAGCTCTGAGGTCTGGAGGCTCCACCCACCCAAATTTTAGTTGGTTTCACCCAGCCAAGGTGGGACAAAGTCCAGGAAAGACTGAGTCATGTGAGGCTGAGACGGTCCCAGTGAGGTAGAGACGGTCCCAGTGAGGCTGAGACGGCCCCTGTGAGGCTGAGACGGTTCCTGTGAGGCTGAGACGGTCCCTGTGAGACTGAGATGGTCCCTATGAGGCTGAGACGGCCCCTGCGAGGCTGTGACGGTCCCTGCGAGGCTGCAACGGCCCCTGGGAAGCCGGTGAAACCGCGCAAGCCGCCCAGACAGCTTCGTCAACGGCCCGCCAACCAGCACACAGCCCCAAGCACAACTATCACCCAAAGGGCGAGAGGGGCGAGAGCAGCTGTAGTGTTGCTTTCTCCTCACTTTTGGTAACGAAATCCTCATTTTAAACATAAGAGGACACATTATTTTAAAAAGCCGTTACGTGTCTCCATACCCTTTCTGAGTAGAGCGTGAACAAGTCGTGAGAGACCTTTCCGAACACAGGGACACGTCACGGATGGAAATAGCTACATTTTCAATGTGTATGACCTTTGACCTGGCAACAAAAAGTGTACACCTATGGATGAGGACAGTGGGGGGGTAAGGGCAGAGGGTGGGGTGGAACTGGGTGAAGAGGAGCTATGGGGGGGAAAAAGGGGAACAACTGTAATAATCTGAACAATAAAGATTTATTTAAAAAAAAAAACTGAGTCATAAGGCTCTGGGGCCAGGACCACATGCACCACCTCTCCAGAAGCCTGACTAGCACCTCTCCCTCATAGGAGACCCACTAGCACCGTCCTCCCCATTCAGCCAGAGGCTCTTTTCATTGACTGAGCCTAACAAGCAGCTGGCAGATGGAGGCAGGTGGATGTGGATATCTGGGTGC